GGGTGGGGTGGTTTTTTTTTCCCTCTCACGCCGCCCACCCCCGGGGGGGGGGTCCTTTAGGGGAAAAAAGGGGGGGGGGGGGTTGGGGGGGAAAAGGGATTTTTTTCCCCGGGGAATGGTGGGGGGGGGGGGGGGGTTGTGGCGTGTCGTGTGTGGAACGGACACTTTGAGGAGAACCCCATCGATTGGCATCGTCAAAACATAAAACACCTCCACAAATTCGCACGTCCATAACCCTCCCAACCCCTTACACCTACACTTTCACGCACACAGACGAAAAATTCGTCGTGGGAAACTCAGAAACAGCAGCTCGACAGACACGTTTCGCCATCATGGAAAAAAAAAAAAAAAATATATATATATATATATATACAAGATATCTCACCGACGGACCGGAGCACGTTCATGTCGACCCCGGTTGAGCGGACGCGCGACAGCTGTCGGGGGGACTTGAAGCCGGACCACTTGGAGGATAGCCACTCGTCTCCCGCCGGTTCCCACGACTTGGACTCCTGGTCATGGTGGTCATTTCATGAAAAACACAACACGTGGCATTCTCGCATGAAAAAACACAAGACTCCTGGTCATTTCATGACGATGAGTAAAAAAAGATGTAACACGTGGCAGGTCATTTCATCATAATGACTCAAAAAAAATAACAAGTGGCATCTTCGAACGAAAACTTACACACTCCTAGCGAGTGGTTTCATGAAAAAGACAACACGTTTTCGTTCACTCCTGAAAAATTCAAAAAAAAAAGAGACGACAAGACGTGCCATTTTCAAAAACACGGTCTCGTTTCGTGAAGCAGCCAAAGCAAACCAATGACGAAGCTCATCGCAGGAAACCTCGGCAGGAAATTACTGCCAACAGCAGCAGCACCACCACCACGACCATCACCACAACCAACAGCAGCAACCAGCAACCAACAACAACAGCAGCAACAGCTCCCCCACACCTACAAAAGCAAACGCCACATCAAACACGCATGAATATACGGCAAGCAACTTCGGGCGGCGCAGCCTACCAAGTAAAGTGTACGATGTGATCATGATGACAAGGCATCAGAACAAAGGCGTGCAACTTCCACTTCACTCCCCTTCAAGTGCACTTCACTTCCCTTTGAGTGCACTTCACTTCTCTTTCAAGTGCAGCAGCGCACCTCGAAATCCTTCTCATAGGACTCTACAACCGAGTTCTTGATCTCGTCGAGCTCGTCCTGGGTGGCGACGCCCTCCCTCAGCTTGACAAAGACAAAAAAAAAAAGGAAAGGAAAGGAAAGGAAAGGAAAGGCAGGACAGAATAACGGAAAAAGGAAAAAACGCGATCGTCACACAGAATACAGAAATGCCCCAGGGACAAGATAATTATCCATACAAGAACTTACACGACAACAACGACACCAGCAACACAACATCGAATGTGCATACGAGGTGAGATAACTGGCGCAACACCGAAGAGAGGATGAGTGTGCGTAAGAGCCAAGCGCGCGAGCAAGAGGAAGCAGCAGAGGCGAGGTAGTGCTTCCGCCACCACTGCCATCTGCTATGGTGAGCGCTGATCTGGACACAGCCGATCCAATGTACGCCATCCTCGTTTTTCCAAAGCATCCGATAAAGGAAGGGAGCGAGGAAAAGCGTGCTTCCAAGCGAACAGTGTACCCAAAGGAGCGAAATCGCTATTTAGCGCTTGACCGAGGTCTGCAGCCAAACAGCGCTGACCTACACATACTGTAGCAAAAAAAAAAAAACACTTTGATGTGTGGTTGTTTTGTCTGGTTTTGACGATTGCTTCCAACCGAAAACGCACAACATGTCGCCTAATTGGTCCGACGCACTCCACACAAGATACCACACCCCCGAGACAGGTTTGTCGTAGCTCGATCTCTCCGCGTGATCGAGGATGGCAGTCCTTCATTCGCTCGGTAATGTTGGTACTGCTGTTGATTTCGTTTATCGGTTGTGTACAATTTCACAACAAAAAGCGTTCCGATCTTTGCAATTTACTTTCCGAGATCCGCACCGATCAAACCGACGCGAACGCCCAAGCATCTTGCATGGATCGGTTGCTTGAAACCTACCGCGGGCCGTACAGTGGGCCGGGGGCGCCGCCAACAACAAAAGCAGCAACGCAACGCAACTCAGCTCACCAGCTTAGACTCGAAGATCGCGGCAGTGTCCGGGTGTTGGGAAATCTGCTTGTAGAGCACGGGCTGCGTGAAGAGGGGCTGGTCGATCTCGTTGTGTCCCATGCGTCGGTAGCAGATCATGTCGATGATGCAGTCCTCGCCGTACTGAAGGAAACAAGAAGAACAAAAACAAAAAACAAAAAATCTCGGTGAAGACTTTTACAAGATCATATTGTGGAGGGGAGGGGACGTCATGACAAACGGCAACAAGAAATACAAGAGAGGGAAGAAAAATGGGACGAGGGGAAGAAGACAAAACTTCAAAACCCGGAAACACCCAGCAACACATAGGAAACGCCGTATCCATTGTGCAGAACTTCGCCGGCCACCTCGGGTCCGCCCTCTTCCGTTGTCTACAAGAGAGAAGAGAAAATCGCGAAGGCAGGGTTGTTGACGGCACGGCCAACATCACGAAAGGGCTTGGACAGGCGGCCTCGACTCCGAGAGCACAAAATAGGCCAACGATCGCTTCCCTTACCAAATCCAGTCGAACGAAACATGATACATACCCACCGCATACAAGCACGGACGCAACTTGTGCAATCATATGTATCTCACCTGCTGTCTCCACTCGACCGCCAGCTCGAAAGCCGTGCATACCGACATGGGGTCGTCCCCGTTGCAGTGGAAGATAGGGATCTTGGGTCATGCGTTCCGTGTAGATATTGATATCCATGTGTTTGGCCGTGGCAGGATACGGGCGGGGGTTACGCCATTGAATATGAAATGGGGGGGGGGAGTTCCAACAGCTGAATGCCGTAAACGGTGCGAGAGTGATGGCACACCCCATAGACCGGTTTCGGGTGCTCGCATTTTCCACAACCTAAGAGCTAGCCGGCTGGAACCCCCCCCCCCCCCCCAAAAGGGCCGTGATGGAAAAAAATATCGTCGAGAGCTCGGTTCCCGTGCTCATGTCGGTCGTTTCTCGCGCGCTCTTAGGAGGACGTGGAGAAACCGAGCTTGTAAGTCAGTCTCGAGGGCATTCGATATATCTCGCACTTTGACGGTGTCGAGCGAAAAAAAAGAATCACCCGACCGCACCTAGAGCCAAGTTACTGTACAGCAGTAATTTATACTTCCCTCCGAAGCGGCCGCGTCGCATGTCGGCTCGAAAAAAAAATGCCATGACAAGGTCTTCGTCTGTGCCATGGAAAAAAAAAAAAAACTTCACTTCGAAGGCATGCATTTTCATCGGATCGGAAAGCGATGACACGCGCTGCCTTTCACGATGAAAAAACTAACACACATCATCACCTCGAAGGTCTTGCCGAGGTCCGAGCAGTACTCCGTAGACCGGCTGTTCCTGGGGTCCGTGGTGAAACCAACCTACGCAAATGCATGTGTAACGACCATCACACAGCCGGGAGAATGTTAGCAAGAGTGCGTCGGAAGAGTGAAGCAGACGCCAACGAGGTACCTGGCTGCATCACAGACAGGAAAAACATTGTAAGGGTTTGGCGGAAGAGCTTAGAAGACGCCAACAACTTATCACCACCACGCCACGCAGCAGAGGAAAAAAACCATTAGTAAAAGTGTGGCGAAGGAATTTAGACGATGTCAACAATGCTGGGTGACGCTCGATGAGTCCTATTAATACTTCAAGCAGTGTCGCGAGGAAACACACATCCTTTGATGGAGGAAACGACCAGCCGATGAGTTCGCGAGTCAATCGCCCTAACGCAGGCACTTGCATTTCGTGTCGTTGTTGATCCCGGTATCCGAATCGTACACCCCCCTCCCCCCGCCCAAACGAAAAAAAAATCATCAAAGTATTCGTGGCATGATGCCCATCGACTTTTGGCGGCCCCCTCTCCCTTCCTTTATTCGCACCTACACTACGAGACGCTGATGCTACCGCGGGTGATTGTCGCTAGGCGCGAGAGAAAAAGAGACACAAAAAAATCCCAATGGTCGACGACATCGCATCATCATGCCTCCACGCGATGGACACCAATCCGTCGATATCGCCTTCGCTCAGTGCTTGTGTGTGCACCCCACGGCAGGTGTACAACAAACCGACGGGATCGATGGACGGCGTCGCGCAGCGTTCTTTCTCTTGCCCTTCAACCGAGATCCGTATACCCGTGCATGACAAGCGTCATATTCGTGAAAACAAAAAAACAAAAAAACAAAAAAAACTGAGCCTCAACCCGCTACTCTTGAACCAAAATCCACATACCCGTGGATGACAGCATCCCATTCGTCAAAAATAACAACAAAAAAAACGAGGCTCGACCCCTATGTTTACCACTTTTCTTGATACGCGTGCCGGTAAATGACGCCGTTACGATAACGGTACGGCACTGCACGGTACGGTACTCTACTGTTCAGCACAAAAACGACTCATGCCTGATTGTTGACGATGACGTGGATGGTCCCTCCCACGGCAAAGTCATTGACGCGCGACAACTGCATCGTTTCATACACCACACCCTGGCCGGCAAACGCCGCGTCCCCGTGGATTAGCACCGACATCGAACGTTGCTTCGATTCCTTCAATGGAAAAAAATACAAAACGGGGGGGACACGCAGAAAGGCATCATCAAGAAAGAGAGACGAAGGGAGAAAGAAATTCATGGTAAGACAAAAATCGGAGGAAAAAAAAGGGTGCTATCAACCTCAGAGATTATTATTTCGTGACATTCGGGGAGGGAGTAACAGCTGTAGCATGGCTTCCGTCCGATTCCGAAGAACCGCGGGGGAGAGAACAAGCGATACTGTAGTCAATAAGGCTCTGCACTATCCTGTCCTACTTTGCTTGTTTTTCCTTCGGGAACTTGTGTGTCGGGAATAATTTGTACAATACTGTGTGGCTTTTTTCGTTGTGCCGTGTTTTTTTTTTTTATATACGTGTCGAATGTATGTACATGTATATTCTATTTTATACTTCTAGTACTTTATTGTATGTTTTACCTCCACAGCCCACTCACACAACACTGTTGCTCTGTACCTAAAGAACCTCACACAAACAAAAATCATGTCACCTCTTTGTACCTCAACAACCAATGACACATGAAAAAAAAACAGACGTGATGGTATGCGTTGAGGACTCACGCCGAACTAATGCCGCCTTGCCATGAACCGCGTACAGCGGCAAACGTTCGTGCGAGTTTTTGTTTTGTACCAAGCTGTAAATACTGATATCTATATATCGTGCGACTTGTGAACGTCACTTCAGACTCTCTCGTAGCTTGTGACGTCAGACAACCCGTCGGAGATACATGTACCTTCGGGATGTTTGCCACACACAAGAGTCAAGTGGACACGCTTATTTCGCGTAGATTGCATATTCGCAAAAACAGCTGGTCTGACCTTGGTATCCCCATGGTAGAACTGCGTGGCGCGGGTCTTTCCGTTCACGACCGGGTTGACGGCCTCGAGATGGCTAGGGTTAGCCACCAGAGAAAGGTGCACCCTGTGGGAGCACCGGCAGCAGACGAGAGATACATGCACACACATACCAGAGAGAGAGATATATAGAGAGAGATAGGGATAGAGAGAGGGGGAGGAGGGGGGAGGGGGGAAGAGAGACGGACGGAGACAAGAGGGCGACAAGAGGAAAGAAGAGAGTAGAGAAAGGACAAGAGGGAAAGGGTGTGAGTGCGTGAGAGCCAAAAATCACGAGCCAAGCCTGCAGTGCAGCGCAGTTGGAGGTTCAGACAGATACGAACACCAGACGTGATTCCTGGTACGGAACGGGATGAGTCAGAAACAGGAGAACGAACGGGTCCGGAAAACCACAAGAGGGACATCACACACGCACGCATTTGCTCTCCCACCAAAAGCGCTATAAAAGTCTTCAACCGAGCACCCGGTGAACGTTGAATATTCCCTCCCGACCACGAAGCAACCCGATTTCGTCGCGGCAAAACGCCTTCTCACAGACAAAGCCAAATACCAGCAAGAAACCCGCAGCACAAGCAGCAGCAACAACAACAACAACAACAACAACAACAATAAAATCGATGACGACGCATCGAGAGCCCTACTGCTGTAATCTGTGCGTGCCGCCCGCTCAAAACCTTCTCGGTGTGTCTTTGTCCAGCCTTTCAGACACGATGGTACGGTACGGTACGGTACGGTACGGTACGGTGCGGTGCGGTGCGGTGCGGTGCGGTGCGGTGCGGTGCGGTACGGTGCAGTACGGTGCGGTACGGTGCGGTACGGTACGGTACGGTACGGTACGGTACGGTACGGTACGGTACGGTACGGTACGGTACGGTACGGTACGGTACGGTACGGTACGGTACGCCAAACTCGCCTTCGCCCGTCCGGGTAGGTGCGGTCCATGGAGGTCCCGAGGTGGTACTTCACGTCTCCGGAGCTGGACCAGTCCTCGTCGCCATCCTCATCGAACTCGTAGTGAGTGCCCTGAAAACACGACATGCCGCCAAGCGAGCAACTTGTGTTCGGAACAGGGGTCGCTAGCCTCGAGCTTGACAAGCTTTTGCTCGCTCGTGAGCACGACACATGGTACGACACGCATGGTATTGCGTCGTTTAATATATTAGCATCGAGCTTGCGCTGTGCATGTGTTTTTGTCTCACGGACGCTAGCGCCAGCCTACACCCTTCGGAATGTATTTGACGTCTCTTATCCTCCGGAGTTATCACACGAGGCAGCACAAGGCCTCCATAGTACCTTCATAGTCCCACCTCCCCTCCGTTGCATACAATCCACCTTTCTTGAAAATGTGCACTTTAACCGAACACAAAGAGGGCGAGAGGGCGAGAGGGCGAGACCATGGTTGGCCCCAGCCCCTAGCCCCTAGCCCCTCACCCAAGCTACATAGCTAGGACGGTTTCCCAAGGGAAATACAACCGCACAACAATACAACAACGACCACACCACAACAACAAGTAGTAAGAAATCACCTGGAACTCCTTGAAGATCTGGGGCATCGGTTTGCGGAGAACGTTCGCCAGAACGTTCAGCCTCCCCCTGTGAACACGGCACAGCAAACGCCGACACAGACTTCAATAAGACTGTTCGTTCGAATCGAGCGACAGCCAGGCAGTACGTCACCCACGTGCGCAAAAAAGCCCACACAGATTTGCCACATACACATCACAATCGTTTCTCTCAATAGGGGTGTGGATCCAGCAAAATCTTACATTGAGTTACCCAGGCAAAGCAAGCCACACAAAAACTCTGCCATGTTAACGCAATCACTCCGTCAGACCCAGGTGCAGACACAGCCCTCCCTCGTGCTCCCATCTCCCGTACACGTTTCCAACCGGTAAATCCATTTGCATTCACCTCTACAGCATGCAAACACACGCACACACATGCGGGGAGCTCTATGTGCCAGGCCAGCACGCCCCCCCCCCCAAACTCACAACATGTTTCCATAAAACAAGACGCAAAACACACGCATTTTACACATGCATAAAAAAGGACGCATCAATTCACGCACGTGTTTCTAAAACACGCATACCTGTGTGCCATTCCGAAGATGTAGTTCTCGATTCCGAGCTCCGAACCGATGTCCACCATGGCCTTCAGCCCGGGAATCACGGCCTCGCCGCCTGCACGAATCGAACCAGCACAAGGTCCGATGGGTTACTGTGATAGCGCGGAAATAGCAATCGGTTGGAGCCGCCGGCGGTGAAATCAGGTGGCAAGCTGACGTCTGATTTACTTTGCCCCGTTTCGTGAATCGACCCGATTCCCTTTGCTCTGCTCCGCGTTTTGCTGTACTCTCGCTCTTTTTTCGCCTGCTCCCTGTCAGCTCTGCCCTGCCCTACCCTGCCCTGCTGTGTGTTCGCTCGCTGAGCTAGCTTACCGTTGAGCCCGAAGCGCTTGACGGTGTTGTACTTGTTCTGGAGGAACTTCTCGAACGTGTCCGCGAACGAGAGCCTGTTGTCTCCACGCAAACAAACAAGCACGACAGACAAGACAAGACAAGACGTGTGAGAGCTCTTCTCTTTTGCCGAGAGCGTCCTGGACAATTCTTCTGAACACCCGAGGGATGAGAACGTGTGTTGACACGTGCGGCACCATTTCTGCGCCAAGCGGTCCCAAATCTGGGTGTTTAAATGACACACTTCTTGTTGGTGCACGCGCGGCACAATGTCTGCACTAAGTGATACGAAATCTGGGTGTAATATTATGTTACACTTCGTAAGTCATTAGTTGCTACTTCTTACAAGTATAGCAAGAACAGAGAGAGAGACTCGCCTCGCTTATCAATAGACGCGGGCTGAAAGGGCGTTGGCACGTGCGGCGCCAGCGTGGCGCCAAGCGGTCCGAAGTCCCGGTCTAATAACACGTGCGTCATTGTTGCCATGACACTCCCGTAGCAAAAGCACAAACACAAAGGGAGACGCTCACCGCTCGAAGATGTGCAGCTTCTTCTCCTTGCTGTACTTGAGCCACGCCGGGTTCTCCACCTTCCTCCGGATCCAGTTGCACTTCTCCCTGCTGTTCATGTGCATGTACTCCACGCCCATCGTGCCGCAGTACGTTCGCTTGAGCGTGTTCAGCAGCTGCCGAAGAGTGATCTGCAGAAACGTACGTGTGTGCCGAACCGGCATTCATCGGCGAACACAACAACCAGCATCAGCAGCGGCGACGACAACAACACAACAACAACAACAACAACAACAACAACACAACTACTACTACTACTATACTACTACTACTACTACTATGCTACACCAACGTCGACATCAACACCAACGACAACAACAACAGCCGGCCCGTTGGGTGCGGTGTGGCGCAACAGATGCAGTCCGCAAGGCACGAGGCAATCTCCGTTGCAGTGGTGTCACCCGTGAGAGCACGAGGAGTAAATAAGTATATGTACCAAGTACAGTACTCCGCGCCGGTCATCACGTCAAGCCGAGCGATTCGGCTGAAATCACGCCCGTGACAAGGGCCGTCACAACTGACCAGCACCAACACGAAAAAACAAAACAAAAATACCACCAACGCAACAAAAAAACAAACTTCCTGCCGCACCTACAACCGCAGTGTCTCGCGGTAGTATGAATTGAGAAACGTTGGAAGCGGGTGCAAAGTGCACTACTTAATTTTCCTATCGGATGTCTCCTCTTCCGTACATGCCACCGAATCTTGTCAATCTCATCAAAAATCTTCGCCAACCTCCCCCCCCCCTCAATCTTCCCGCCAAGCACACACGTCGCCCCGGCGGCTCTCTTTCAACTCACCGTGGGTTGTCGGCCCAATTCTTCGAGGTACCCGGTGTTGCCGCCGGACGCCGTGCTGTTCAGGTGCAGCTTACGGTCCATGTCCCTTTTTTTTAATAGGGAAAAAAAATAGAGTCAGAATCATCACTATCACAAGGTGCTCGTTATAAAACCTTCGGCCGACACAGATACATGGGCATCTTGAGCAGGCGGGGGTGTTCTTTGCTCATTCCTACCAAAAAAATCCAATACAACAAACAACTAAAAAATAACGCCTTGGGGTGTTAATCGATTGGTCTTATCCAAGGGAACCTGCATCCCAACCTGCTCTGCTTGCTTTGATCTGGAGTCATGAATGATTGAAGGGTAACCAAGAAGAAACACAAAGTGAGAAGGACCACCGAAACACGGGCATAGTTCACGCAAAACATTCTCTCTCTCTCTCTCTCTCTCTCTCTCTCTCTCTCTCTCTCTCTCGGCCCCGTAGCTGTGAAGCGGTAAGAAAAACGATGACCAGGAGAAGTCATTCAATCTGACACGACCTTTGCAACAGCCATGACCACGGCCAGGCAGGCAGCAACACTGGCACTGCCTAGTAGGGCAAGGGGCGCACGAACTCGATGCACCTGCCCTTCCCTTCACTGCTAACCCCCTTGGCTTGGATACCGCGGAAGCGATACATGACCGATGTCGTCAACACGATATCAACACCACCACCACCACGACCAAGCAACAACCAGCGTGCACGCGCCAACTGTAACATTCTGCTCCCTTGTAACATTTTGTTCCTTGAAAACGAAAGCTCATTTCTCCGAAGCCGTGGCACTTCGGGCAACAACAACAACAACAACAACAACCAGCGTGGTGGCACATGCACCACTTGCCACCTTTTTGCTCTCTCAACAACTACTGTAAACCACCTCTCTTCGAAGCCGTGGAACTTGGGGTCTAGCTCGGGGGGAGGGATCGCTGGCCTCCACGCGTCCAGCCCCAGCGGGTCGAGGTTCGCAGCCTCGTGCCCCTGGACCTGTCAGGCAGGCCATCGACAGAGTGGTGTGGTGCTCAGCGGCTACTAAATCGAGTGTCCAACAAAGGCGTGTGGGAAACGAACTCAGAACGCGAAACGCCTATGTACTGTACGGAGAGGCGTGCGTGAGACGGGGGGACAACTCGACATAAAAGGACACACAAAAACAAGCGTGACAGCAGCAATCGTAGTGTTGGGGGGAGGGGGTATGGGGGGTGCTCATGTTTTCCATGTCTTGGTTGCTAGACCGTCGTCCACGCGTCCTCGAGAGGGCGGAGCAGGGAGTAGTTTTTCAAGGGTTGTTGCCGCGACAGCGTGATTGGTTGGCGAACTTACGCCAGAGCCATGCGACACTCACGAGCCAGGAGCATGGCTGCAACGTTCGACGCTGCGATGCAAACCACGCCCCGTGTTGCGGGGACAAGAGAAAAGGCGACGATCGAAAACATCGCTAACACACGGGTGAAACGTGTTGCCACCGAAAGACCAAACTAAGCGTTTGACCACAACGACGATCAAGCAAATCAACACCACCACCGCCGCCAACGCCAACTCCAACAACAAAAGACAAAAGTAACCCTTAGACTACACCGGCAACACCACCGCTGCCGCCACCACCAACAGCAACGACAACAGCGGAATACCAAAATACGCCGTAGACCACAAGGACGATCAAACAACAACAACGCCGCCGCCGCCGCCGCGAACAACAACAACAACAACAACAACAACAACAACAAACGCGACACTCACCTGGTAGGCGCGGATGAGGTAGGAGACGCTAAGCGAGTCCGACTGTTCTCCCACGGACGGGGCTGCCGCCACGGCAGGCAGCGACGCCGCCATCGACGGCACCTTGGGCACGAGGAGAGACATACCCGCACAGAACCAAACGCAACAAGAGGCGACATGACATGTCAAAACGTCTCAGGTTCGCCCGAACAAACGAACGGGACGACAGAGAGGGTACGAACCGGTTTACTTCTTCGACTAACGCAGGGCCGCCGGTTTTCTCGTTACTCTTGAAAAACTGTCTCGGTCTGCCATTTGGAAGTAGCAAGCTCCGTATGGTTCTTTTACGAACCCTCCTTCTGCTCTCCTTGTCTTTCACCTCCCCCGCCCCCTGCCCCCCGCCCCCCGATTCGGCAAAAGTAGGAAGGAACGATTGACCATCGGCGACCGATCCTGTGGAAACCACGCTCATTGCTATCGAGAACGCGTGGTCAACAGTACAACAACTGAGCCCTGAAAACATGGGTATGTCCCCCCTCCGTGCCAAGCATTGCCCGAAAAGTCTTCTCTCCCCTGACAGAAAAAAAAAACATCATGGAGTGATCACACCTACCAAGCATTGCCCGCAAAGACTGCTCCCGTGGAACGTAACAAAAAAGTACAGCATCGAGTGATAACAGCACGCAAGATACCTCGAGCACGCGGGGCGGGGCCGTAAACGCCGCCGTGGCGTCCTTGCCGGCGTCCGAGTGGCGGAAGTAGACGTCCCAGCTCTTGTGCACGCTGCCGGGGTCCACCTTCCACGCCTCGTACATCTCTTCCACGTACAAGCTGCCGCCACCCACCAAGCGTTAGTGACGCCACGGCACGACACAGCAGTCAGCGCCCGCGTTGAAGAAACTTTAATAATTTGGGGGTCGAGGCTCGACTTCTACATTTCGGCGCCGCCGTCGATGCATAGGTCTTTGTTGTACACAGAGTCAAGTGTAGGACCCACTGCTGAGGTGTGGTTGGTGTGTTTTCCTAGTCTGTTTTGTGTCGTATATCGCCAAAATCTGAGTCGTTGCTTCATCAATCAAGGTTTGGTTCTTATTCCCGGGCGCTAACCGTAGGTCACGTGACAGGCCATGGCGCACACGACTGTCAGAACGTCACACGCAACACACGAGGTTTCCACGCGGAAAAAAGCTGCGGTGGCGGATTTTGGTATACGATGCCACCAGAGGCAAGAAAGGAACAGCACCGTACGCTAGAGACTAACACACGAAAAAAATACTCCAGCCTTCATTTTGTATCCGTCTCCGTCTCTCCCTCTCCTTCGCCCCCCTGCCCGATGTACCTGTCACTAATTGCACGAAAAACTGTTTTTATAAGTCGGCGCGAAAGGGCGCTAGCGTACCTATGCTTCCGTTGGAGGTAACCCAAGGTAACCACCACACGACGAGTGAGGGGGATCGGGTCCGACAAAGCGGATCAACATTTGCTGCAAACAAAAATCACTCTTTCCCCTACTGCAGTAAAACGTCACACCTCCACAAAAGGCCACAACGTGCTCCGGGCACAGTCCAGGAAGAAGCGCATTTGCACCGATCGCCCACGCTCAACGCAGCGTGCTACCTTTACCTTGTATCTATAATAGTTTTCCGCACGTCTTCTTGGTTTCTTCCCCCGTCTCTCTCCATGTCTCCTCTTGTTTGCAGACGTGAAAAATGCCAGTCAGTGCATCCCCCCACATCTTCGTTGGGTGAGGCGGGGGGGGCTCCCGCTCTTTTCCCCTGCCACGGCTAGGCTACAAAATGAGATCCTACGTACTACCGTGACCGAGAAAACCCAGACAACAACGTCGATAGGCCGGCCAAAACTAACCAACCTGTTAGACCCCTGCATGAACGTGTCGGGGGATGTCGCAGCAGGGGCAGGAGTCGTCGACAAGCCCCTCCTAGCGACCACCCCGTTAGTCGCTACGGGGACACATCGGTAACAATGTCTTCCCGCCACCGCCCCCGCGGCAGTAGAGCTCGTGATCGAAGATGTCGGCGCCAGGCGGTACCTGTGGGCTAACCCTCCTGACGCGACGAACAAAAAAGAGACTCATGTTGGATTAGAGGACCAGGTGGCGGCGTCATTGATAATATTTCCAAGTTTAAGGCTTAATTAGTCTCGAAATAAACCCAGCCGTTTATTCTCCCACTCACTGCAAAGACTTTATTTAACATACACGCTTCGACTGCTCTTGTCCTTATACAGCAGTGGGCCCCGTATAGTGACGGTCGAGTAGTGCCGGATGCCCGGTATAGTCCCGGTGTTTTCGGCTCGCGCAACTGAAATACCAACTCGTTCTGTACTTCGAATATCCGGTATAGTGCCGGTAACATCTCTAGACACATACCACCACAATACAGGGCCCACTACAGCAGTATATCGAACGGGTTTTGATTCTGCAATTGTTTGAGTATTGCAGAAAAAATAGAGATCCATCGCGGCGTTTGGGGGTGTGGGGGGGGGGGGGGGGGGGGGGGGATCTATGTTTTTTTT